TGATATTCTTTACTATGTAAAGAATTGGAGAGAAATTTATGAAGTTGATCGTAAAAAAGATGAACCAGCATTACTTAACGAAAGAGATTTTCGCCACAAGAAAGGAGGTCCATTAGGCGTATTACATGAAAAACGTCTACTGAACGATTTAATGCAAATGGCTAGGTTACGATTACGAGCATGTGATGAAGAAGGTGTTCAAATTGTTGTTGAAACAGCCATTGGACTTGGAGTCTTTTCTGGTGAAGATATTGGAGTTGATGAAACAGTACAAATAACCTCTGCGATAGCCATTCGAGCAGTACTTGAACAAGATGGACCTAGTTATAAAAATATTCGTGGAATAATATTTGCTTTACCAATTATCGATGTAGACAAGAATTTCATAAGCACTGGTGACACTTTTAGTGAGTTTATTGAACATTTTCAGGAACCACCGTATAATGGTCCCATACCTGTAATGATTGCTGACCAAGATATGCATCGATTGGCAGTAGCTATTGCTCGTCGTGGTTTTATTGTTTCTGAATTAAACCCTGCTGATTCACATGGTGTTTTCGGTGAATATTGGCAAAATCGAGGACCAGCTGTAGAAGAAAAACTGGCTTTGACAACAGTCGGTTTACTCGTACAACATCATCTCATCAATAAAGAAGTTCTTAATGAAAATAACTATTATATCATATAATTTGATAAACAAATACAATTGAATATGGCATTTAGCTAGTTAAAGTATTGATGAATTATTTTCATATTATTAGGAAGTTTCTTTATAATGGATCTAATTCTTATTAGAGATCCATCATGCATATTTCTTCTTATATGGAAAAAAAAGAGTGTAGTTTTTCAAGTTCAGATGAAAGCGAGTTTTAATATTTTTATATAATGTACTATTAAGCGCGTGTACAAGTGAATAAATGATTTAATGCGCTCAAGTTTATCACAAAAAAAAGAAAATAAGTCAAAAACGTTTTGGTTTATAATTATAAAATTTTCATCGAAAAACTAACACTTGATATAATTCTCAGTAACTTTTAGATATTTCATTTTTAATTTGGTTTTAGTTATCATTCTAATCGAAGTTTAAAAGTGATGTATTTAGTATAACAGCTTACCTATTTGTTTTTGAAATATTACACATTTTCTTATGTTATTTCGTTTCCACTATTTTCTGCTACAAGATTCTGCGGCAGCTAGGACTGTTTTATTCAAAATACAAATTGTTCATTGTTTCAGAGTGACGAATCAAACATTTTTTACTGAAGAGTAAAATGTCTCTGCTTTTTGTGCATGTGCTATAGACAAGACACATGTTATGAGTTCTGTATCGCATGACAAAACCAGTATACTAGTAGAGCTCTTCACACAAATTTCTCTGTTTGCTAGATAAAATTCAAAAATGTGTCAAAACCTACACACACTGTCACCTACATAAACAAAATTTGAATTTGGCCATTTCCTTTTAATTCTTACATTTCTTTTATTGATCTTCATACTATTACTTATTCAAATCATAGCGTTGTTTATTCAGTGTCCAAATTTATTACTTTTGCAATATATGCCTAATTTCTAATGATTTTTTTTATCGCAAAAATTAACCATAGTAATGAAACTGTTCTACATCAAAAATATTATGTATGATTGAGATATGTCAAATATGTTCAATTTAATTACAATCATCTAGAACATATTTCTAAAACTAACAGTTGGTAATGGAAGCATTTGATTTCTTTGGAAATCGAAAAGACCAAGCGGAAGTATCTGTGCGTCATCAATTCATGTTATTTTTTCTAAAAGTGTTGTTTGATTATCTGTTTTTCCCCATCAAATTTTGTCTATATAATTATCAGACAATATGCACGATTATTATGCATGAGAAGTAAAACAAAACACCTTATGATAGGAATACATTTAATTTAGCAAGCTCAATGATCCCTTTTATTTTCGCCTATCAATTTTAACTAAGCATTTCTTTTAACTTGGAAAAAACCACAATATGCTATTGACGGGCATGTTGTGTTGCATCAATCCTTTACTTTTCTTCACAGAATTTGCTTTATATTCTGTTACACATTACTTATGTTTGTAGGTATGTTTAAAAAAATATAAAGCCAAAGGCATGAGCAGTAACATGATTTGTTGTTTTGCTTCTTTTTTGCGTTCTTATCGACACAGTACACAATGCAATGCAATACTCACATGGAGTAACGAAATTTAAAAAGGTTGACTCACGATTTTGAATAGTACACGCTCCATCAAAATGATGACAGGTAATAACATCAAAAAAACCTTGTTGTTAATGTAACAAAAATGGTGCAACATCTATCTATGATGGATGTCACTTAGCGTTTTGTCTAAAACATGCATCTGATCATCAACAAGAACTTTCTTAGCAAATGGACAATATTGGACAACAACATGATATTCTGAGACGAGATATTGAGCAACAGAGTATCAGCAAAACATTAATAGAGCAAATCGATAAGGGAGAAAAAGAATCTATTGAAAAGATTCGATCTATTGCGGGCACAGCTCGAATCTATTTAAAACAACTAACTGTAGAATCAAAGAAGCAATTACATAATTTGATGAATAAATTATCACATGAACTTCGTTCGAGTTGAGAAAGTGATGACTATAAAGAAGATGATCTTGATCGATGGGGACAACAACTTGATCACTTATGAAAGCAACTTGGGACTGTCAGTAATTAGTGCATCAAAAACAGTCGACGAAGCCGTACATTCTAGCAGTTGCAGAGTTATTTTATATTCATCTAGCATTAATCGTCTACGATTTCTGATAAACACATCTCATAAGAGTGCAGTTTTCTTTGACCTTATCAAATCGACTGAAATTATAACTAACCGATTCACAACATTGAATTGCGCTTATGGCTCCTCGAGTTGTGAAAGATCAGTGACCAAAGGTATATATGTTGGGGAATATAAGGAATGGGAAACACAAACGAATGATGACGTGATAATTACGTTAGATTTCAATGCACGAAAATTTAGCTATTAACATGAACGAACTAACAAGTGTATTAGTATTAGTAGATGAATATGGTTGGCCTTTGCTGTTTTATTATCAGCGTTTTTCTGCACTGCTATTATTTTTTATGTTAACACTAATTCGATTGTTAATGTTCATCGCGATATTAATATAAAAAATATATATTATTCTCAAATACTATCGTTGCCGCGAAGACATAAGTAGAGATGTGCGAGAGCACGAGAAAAAAGAAGTTACTCAGATTGGAATTGGAACTACGAGGAAAACATTGTCTCAACCAAAACTAAGGATTATAGTAAAATATTATATGGTTTTAAACGATTTATCATGTAAATCATATTAATTAGAACATAAATTCAAGAGAAATGATTCAAAAAAGTGCTAGTCATCGATTCAATAAATCAACAGATGAATATTGAAGAATTTTTTTTAGGTGTGATATACCAGGTCATAGTTCGAGGCCAAAAAAAGTCGATCCCGCACATCCCTTGATAGGATGTATCTATTGTAATTTATTTTTCGTGATCAAACAAGACGACAATTATATACTAGCATTGATCTGTTAACTTGGTTTACAATTATTGACCTTCTGAACGTTTTTGACATTCTTTTTTTTCCGACAAAAATGCTACATCATTTTAATTGTGATATAGTATTTATGATCGATATTTTCTTTCTTAGTATAATTTACTCGATATTTTTCATTCATAAATAACATATGCAGGAAGTAAACAAATAGAAAAGAGAGCTGCAGATCTTTAATGTAAGCTTAATTTACCAAGACTGATCAATTCGAGTTAATTTATATTTCTTTAAAAACATATTTGAATCTAATTTCTACTTATTTATCAAGGATATTTTCACCTTATTGGAAAAAACATATAGCGTTTACACAATGCTTTAGTGTTCTTGCACAATTTTAACATTTTCTTGCGTCATGCTACTTAAGCCATCATAACATGGTTTCTTCCAACTTTGTTCTTTTTCTTTGCCCTGATAAAATGACGCAAAAAAAGCAATGCATGTGATTACACAGACTATTCTTGAGAAAGTAACAAGAACAAGAAAAAAAAATAATAGGTGAAAACTTCTTTTTATTTGCCAACATGGTAAGTTAATAAAATCTTTTTTTTGTCTGTAATTATTGAATAATTTTTTTAGTCTAAAAAACCCAATATTAATGTTGACATAAAACCATCTGGATCTGTCGTTCCCAAAGAAGCATCTCTTTTTCCAAAAGATCGTCAAGGCACTTGTTCAATATGTAGTGATAATGATCTTACTTTAGTTAATCTTTCAAAAAGATGTCAACATCAAGCAGCTTGTTGTATTCCATGTCTTACACAAAATATTTCTAATGGTATAACTGTCAAAGGTATTCATCGTTTTGAATGTCCTATGCCTACATGTAAAGTGGAGTTTGAGCCTTCGGAATATTATCGTTTACTCGATACTCGCCTAACAACTTTAGTCGATAAACTTTTATTAAATCGATTTCTTGAATCAAATGAAGAATTTCGATGGTGTAAATCAAGAAAAGGATGTGGAGCTGGACAACTTGTATCAAATTATAAAGATTTACTTGGGTATGTAATATATCAATATCGATTTTTTTCATTGTATGAATCCATATTTTTTATTTTCTATCTATAGATATTATACATGTTATGCATGTCATCAACCATTATGTTTTCGACATTCAATTGAATGGCATACAGGTTATACATGTGATGAATTTGATCGAGAACGCACTCTCAATCCTGATTTAGCATCAGATGTAACTGTTCTTGCTTTTACAAAACAATGTCCTAATCAATTATGTCGTACACCAATAATGAAATTTGAAGGATGTGATGTTATGACATGCTGTCGATATGGAACACATGCATGTTCTGAAGCGAAAGGCAAATGTGATCATGGTGGACAAAATTATTGTGGACAAAGATTTTGTTGGAAATGTTTAGGAAAAATTGATGTTGATAAAATAACTGGAACATACATAAGACATTGTAATCAAAATTGTGAATATGCTACACTTAATAATTAAATGAACATACTTTTACAAATTGCTTTGAATAAAATTTTTTTTTTGTAAACTAAGTTCATACCGATCGAATTTTTATATTAAAAAAAACGACTAGTTTTTGTCACATTTAAAATAAATAATCTACATGATTAATTTCATTGTAAATTTAGTCATTCTTTTTTTTCATTTAAAATGACATAGATATCTCAAATGTATTGTGAAACACGATCTAAAAACATTATTAATAACGACTTGTTATTGGGATGAATACCTATTTTTGAGAGAGACCGCTCCCTAAGCCTCCATACTGGGCTAATATGTAATATTTCAACGAAGGAAGGGAATTTGATAACTTTACGTTTGTTTATACTGTCAAAGAATCGAGATGGCTATATCACCTTGGATACATAGAAAGACTTTATATCATACTAATTCTATCAAATAAAATCAATACTAATTTCAACAAGAGGCTAATTTTATTAAGGTTTTAATACTTTATGTATTAAATTAATATTTTCAGTCTTGGAAAGATCGATTTTAATATGTCACATTGTATTGTGTCAGATGACGCCATCTTTAATAAATAGTAAAACTCAAAAATTAAGCGACGAAACAGTCGATGTAATCGCACAGGCGAGTTCAGAGAG